ATAGGTGCATCCCTCGTATAAATATCTATATATATATTCCTTCAAACCAATTGCTCTCCGGATATAACAAATTCACTCGTCTAACATTTATCACTCCCGTTACGATTAATCGATTTATCAATTCTAACTAAATACAACGATTAATAGTGAATTTCATAGTTACTAATGGTACTTTAAATGAAAACTGTTCACAATTTATATTAATGACACATATGAATATAAACTCTAAAAGTTCTTTGTTCAATTCGACCAATTATCGAGATTATAGTTAGTCGATTTTTCTTTTGTAAAGTGTAAAAAAACGGAATTTTTTGTTCTGAATGTTGAAATGGATGTAAAAATTTGTTTTAACTGATGTTTGCTATCGGATCTATCAAAATTAGTAACCACAGCTAAATTTTTTGCTATTACAACGAAAAAGTTTGCTATGATAAACAATATCAGTCTTAATTTTTTTTTAAATTTACTGTCACAGGAAACTTTTTTAACACCACAGAAAATTTGTTCGCTGTTCCCTATATTAGCTAACGTAATTTGCTGTCTTAGCAAATAGTTCGCTGTCACAGCAAATTTTTTCTATCCGTGCAGTAGTAATTTTTTTAAAAAATAAATAATAATAATAATGTCCTAAAACAAAAATTGATTTTCAAATAATTGGTTACATGACTAGTAAATCGTAAATAAATATTTATCTGTATCAAAGATATCTTTATCTGTATCAAATAAATCTTCATCTGTATCAAATAAATATTTATCTGTATCAAATAAATCTTTATCTGTATCAAATAATTATTATTTGAGTCAATTACATCATATTTATTTCAAATACAGAAATTATTGGTTAAAATATAAAGTTTATTTAATGCAAATAAAAATTATTTGATTTAAGTAAAATATTTATTTGATAATAGTCACCGTATATTTGTATCAAAAGAATTTTTTTTATCAATTACTAGCGATGTATCCCTCACTCGCTAACGCTCGTTTTTTGTTTTTTCATTATAATTATAATATAATTTTTTCGTAGATAGTTAGAAATTTTTTATCTTTTACAATATGTGTGTTTAAAAAAAATACTTTGTGGCAACGATTTTTTTTCAACACAAAAAAACTAATAAAAAAAAAAGGAAAGAGAAATTAAAAAAAAAGAGAGAAGAGAATTAATTAAAATGCAATAGCACGACATTAATTAATATGAAAATGAGCATATGAAATTTTAAAAAAGCTACATATAAATTTTTTTTTCTTTCTTTTTTTTTTTGAAAAAGTGACATTTTAAATCTGTGCGGAAAACGAGAGATGAAAATTTGCGTTAACTCTCACAGTGTGTGTTGAGGATAGTCGAGAGGTATTTAATTATCAGCAGGCGCTGCTGCTGCTGCTTTAATTTGGCAACATTCCACCGCATGGAGATTAGGTCGAAAGCGCACCTGCTGCTCGGGCTGACTTTGAGTTTACTATTGCTGTCACTGATATTGTGTGTGGCTTTGAAACTGGTTGTCGCTGGTTAAAACGCCTTCTTCTCTTCTTCTCTTCTTCTCTCTCCCTATATATATATATATATTCACCCTCTAAATATCACTTTTCCCATTGAGCACGTTTTCCTCCACGTGGTAAATTAATTTTACTGAATAAAAAAAAAAAAGAGGAAAAAAATTGTCACGTCACTCTGTCAATTAATTGCTAGTAATGAATTCCAATCGATTAAATTCATTTCCTCGCATTAGCTTTATAGGATCTTTAGAAATACACATAAATAAATTGCTAAACGTATATATATGCATATTGGCGGAAGGCTCGTTTGTATCTTTTTTGATACGATAATGAGATAAATAATTATCGTTATATGTATCGGCGTGAGAGTCGTTTGTCAAGCGCATCTGCAATATAATTATTATGTGTGTGTATGTTTGCGGCAGGTGCTTTCAATGATCCGAGATTTCAATTACAATTCTTGCTAAATAGGAATTTAAAAATTTTCCTATAATGGAATTTTGCGGGTAAATAAAAATTAAAAGTTAACTACAAAATTCTACAAATTTTTCAACAAATTCTAATTCTCTAAGAATATTTTGCAAAATAAAATTTTTTTGTTAAATAGAAATTCTGCTGGATATAGGAATTTAGCTAAATAAAAACTCTAATTAGAATTCGGCATAAGAAAAGTTCTTAATAAATGCAAATTTAGTTAAATGAAAAATCTTTTCAATGAGAATTCAGGAAAAATAGAAAGGTTATTTCAAATTGACAGTCTGATAAATAAGAAATTTGGTTAAATAAAATTTCGGTTTAATGGAAATTCGCGGCTAAATAAAAATTCGGCAACTACAAAATTCTCATAATTCTATTTAATGATAATTCGGCAAAATAAAAGCTCTTGTTAAATAGAAATTCTGCTAAATAAGAGTTCTTGTTAAAAAAATTCCGAATTTTGTTAAATAAAATTTATGTTTAATGGAAATTCGGGTAAATGAAAGCTCATTTAAATAGAAATTCTGCTAAATAGAAATTTAGCTAAATAAAAACTCTAATTAGAATTCGGCATAAGAAAAGTTCTTGATAAATGCAAATTTAGTTAAATGAAAATTCTTTTCAATGAGAATTCAGGAAAAATAGAAAGGTTATTTCAAATTGACAGTCTGATAAATAAGAAATTTGGTTAAATAAAATTTCGGTTTAATGGAAATTCGCGGCTAAATAAAAATTCGGCAACTACAAAATTCTCATAATCCCTATTTAATGATAATTCGGCAAAATAAAAGCTCTTGTGAAATAGAAATTTAGCTAAATAAAAATTAACGAGAGTTTGGCTAAATAAGAGTTCTTGTTGAAAAAAAATTCCAAATTTTATTAAATAAAAATTATGTTTAATGGAAATTCGGGCAAATAAAAGCTCATTTAAATAGAAATTCTGCTAAATGCGAATTTGGTTAAATAAAAATTTTGATGAATAGAAATTTAGCTAAATAAAAACTTGCGTTCAACGAGAATTAGGCAAAATTAAGAGTTATTTAAAACTCATTTAAGTAGAAATTCTGCTAAATGCGAATTTGTTTAAATAAAAATTCTGTTAAATAGAAATTTTGCCGAATAGAAATTTAACTAAATCAGGGTGTCTACTAAAAATCTGAATTAAAATTCTAGGACTTTTCCAGGAATTGAATAAAAGTTCTGCCAAAGTACGAATTAAGTTCAATAAAAATTTTCTTCAACGAAAATTTGGTTAAATAAAAGTTCATTTCAAATAGAAATTCTGCTAAATACGAATTATTATACTAATTATTACTATCGTTATTAAATAAATACGTCATCATTTTCTTTACAATTTTTAAGTTATTAAAAAAAATCTCTATTTTAAAAAAAAGTAAATAATTTTCTATTTTTGTTGTTCTTTTCAGTCTTGTGTATATAATTGTCTTGAATGGTGCGACTTATTTGAGAACGAATAAAGTTTTTTTGGTCTCCGACGTAGCCTTTCTCGTTTACATAGCATATACATTGGTACAAATGTTTTGGCAATTTTTTTTTCCGAATGATCCCTTTCTCTCTTTGTATATAGAAATATATACACAAATCGTATGAAGGGCATTTTAAAAGAAAATAAGAAATTGGAGCGTCTTTAAAATATATATATGTATATACCGCTCGCGGTTGTAGAGGCACAGTGCACAATAAATCTACCTGCGAATAAATAATACAATCGTGTAAATCGTGTTTCCGTTCCTCCCTTTCTGAATCGGACTATATGTATTCGCATATAGGATACTTATGTATACACGCATTTATGCGCATTTATGTGCGCAATGTGTATCTTTTGCCTGACGCAGAAACAAGAGAATCTGGGGGAGAGAGTTGGTGGTATACACGAATGAGATTCTGCTCTGCAAAGAAGATTCATTTTTTTTAATCTCTCTCTTATTTTTTATCTCTCTCTTTCTCTCTTTCCTTATTTTTTTTAAATACTTTTTATATTAACTTATATTTCCTGCGCCTCCTTAAGGATCAGATTTCGCGAGACATTCCTTAAAAGAACTTTTGCAGGATCGATAAGATATATATAAAGATCGTGTGCTCTCCTCTCATTTTACTTTCTCTCATTCCTCGTGACTAAATTTATTTTCTCTCTTTCTCTCTCTCTCTCTCTCTCTCTCTCTCTCTCTCTCTCTCTCTCTCTCTCTCTCTCTGTTCGTTGACTTCCCTCTGAGAAATTGGGAGAATAAGAAACCCGAATGTGGTATTTTAATTACTTATGTTTCGTTTCTTTTCATGAATATTACTTGAAACTTGTTCGAAAAAGAATTTTTTAAGATTTTAATCTCTCGCTGCATCTCATCATCTCTCTCTTACAGTTTCAGTAAGCAATTTGTTAAATTACCTTTAAAAATTTGCGCGCTTCTTGCATTTTAAAAGTGTTTTTTTTCTGATATGTATAAATTATCGCAATTATAATTATATTCTACTATTTTTTTTATATTATATTATTATTGAATTTTATTATAATTATAATTATAATAATTACACGGAAAAAATCTTTATCTGGAACAGCGATATGTTTCTCTAGAATAGGGAAAACTTTAGCTGTTTTAGTGAAATATATCGCTGTTCCAGTGAAACTTATCGTTATTTCAGTAAAATAAATATTTTTTACTATCGAATTAGTAAAATTTAACTAATTTACAAGCAAAAAGTAAATTACCCCGTGCAGAAATTTTGTCAGGGTCCAGATCGGGGCCGGATCAGGATGCCCTAATAGGGAATGAAACGCCGCGCCTGATGTGGCCCTGATCAGGTGTGGCGTTTCATTCCTTACTAGGGCCCTGATAGGGCAATTTCTACTAATTTTTACTTAGAGTAAAAATTTAAAAAAAAAAAATTTTTTTTTAAATTAAAAAATTTTTAATTTAGAGAGTTTCTTAATTATGATTATTATTATTTTATAATCGCGGGGTTAAAATTCCAAGGTGACGAGAAAAAAAAAACAATTTTTTTTTTGTACTTACGTAACGTATAATTTGTCCACCGTCCAGCATATTATGTGTCCTGAAAACAAAAATGTACATATATATATATGTAAATTAATTTTAAAAAAAAAATTGAAATCATCTGCTAAATAATATATTCTCACAGTTGGAAAGATAAGAAAATTAATTTCTCCTGTAGTGCTCGTTATTTTTCTCGCAAATTATTGCACTCGCGCGCTTGAGAAAAGATGTACGCGCGGGTGGTTTTGTGTGTGCATTTTTCTTATGCATTTGCGCATATTAAATTATGTGGACGGAACACGTGGCTCTTGTGTGTATGTGTACCGAATTAAATTAAAGATTCATGCATTCAGGAAGAAGACCAGATCCTACTAACGACTTATATGTTCATCTCTCGCGCTCACCTACAATTTATTATTTCTTTCTCTTTCTCTCTCTCTCTCTGCTTTCTTCTTTCATATTCTTTTCTTGTTAATGTTATTATCGTTATAAGTCACATTTCTCAACACAACTCGTGTCTTGTTTTTCTTTTTTTCTTTATTGCTCAGATTAACTGATGATTCTTTTATCTTACAAGATTTTTAAGAAGGAAATTACTTTTTTTTTTGAAACTTAATACAACGGACTTGTGTCATTTTGTTGTTGTAATTTTTGTGATTTTTTTCGAAAAAAAAAGAAAATAAAATACTCTAATAATATATAATAATATATAATAATATATAATAATAATTTTTAATTAATAATTATTTCATATTAACTGTATGCAATAATTAACTATAATTAAATAATATATAATTAATTATAATTCTATAATTTACAATTATTAATTATTAAATAATGCTAAGTTAAATATAAAAATTCAGTAATTATTAAAACCGATTAATATTAAATTCTTAATAGCTTCAATTAAAATAATTTTTGTATTAATTTATAGGACACCAAAATTTTTAACATGTTCTCATAAAAATTTCATTTCATACAATATGAGAGAAAGAACGGCGATTTTAATATTATTTCGAATTATCAATAAAATTGTATATTTTAATATTGTAAACTCGTATCCTTTTATGCGCATAAAGAATTTATGGCTTTTTATTCTTTCATTGTACAATGAACTCTATAAATAATAAAATTTAATTTACATGAATAATTAAAAAAAAAAAATATTGTTTTATTTACCATATTATTTAATGGCAAAATTAATTTATATTTTTAATAAAATTAGAAATTCTTTTTTTTTTATGTTTCAGTGGAGGGAAATTTATCACAGTCGGTGATAGAATAAGACTTCCCGATGATGTCACAATGGGTTATATTATCGAGCATCTTTTGAAAAAACAACTCACTGTCGTCGAACAATTTCATTCGCATCTTGAACCAATGAAATTTCTCAACAAAGACACATTCCACGAACAGGTGAGATTTCAATTCTTTTTTTCGAATTTTATTTTGTTTTTTTTCAACGAATTATTTATAATTGAAATAATTTTTATAATTATTTTTAAATTTAATTTTACAATAAAAATAAAATCGGGGAGAAATTGAATCGATCATTGGGATTGACAAATATAAACTGTTATATTATTTGCTATGAAAAAAAAAAAAAATGTCGAAAAGTGTAGGAATATTTTTATATATATATAACGTTGGTAAAGTTTGCAACGTTTATGATCAAGGATTGAAAAAAAAAATATATTTTTCACTCAAAAAATAATAACTAATTTTTTGCCTACAATTTTTTTTTCAAAAAATTATTAATCAAGAAACGTTGCAAAAAAAATTGTTGGATAAATAAATAATTTGCATAGAAAAATATTTTCTCTTCTCATTCGTTGATCATAAATGTTGTGAACTTCACCGACGTTATATATAAGAATAATGAATCTGAAATCAGTTTGATTTATTATAGTGTGAGTACAAGATATGTACCTTTGATTGATCTATAAATTCATAAGCTACTTCCCTTTGGCTCATAGAAATTCAATTTATCAATTTGTCAATCAATTCAACTTCAATTGAAAGGTCACTGACCCGATTTGAATAGGTGTATATATATAGTAAAACGTCAAGAGTGCGAGAGCATCTAGATTTCGAATGTTTGATGGGAGCCAATTGATATAGTCATGGATCACATTGTCGGCTTTATATAAAAAAAATTTCGCATGCAAGACACCTCTCTTGTCATGTATATATATATATTCGTTAATCTCATCTTATAACACTCAAAAAGAAATCTTGAATCTCAACTTCGCGGTCCATTACTTTCCTCGTGTAAATCGTTCAACAACCACTGACGTCCATATACTATATATATATATATATATATACAAAAGGATACGAAATATTTTTGATTGACAGATACCGATAAGATATATACACTGCTATTAGCTTCATTTTACAATGGTATAAAAGGAACTTGCCAATAAAACGAATGACTCTTCCTTATGTAATATCAACGAAAAAAAGAAAGTTCCCAAGGAAGTGAGAATTAGTTCTATTTAAAAAAAATAATAATAAAAAAAAAAAGAAATCATTTTAAATTAAGTGATTGATTTTTTTTTTTTTATTACATTGAAATTGAATTTCATTAGGAATTTTTTATTCGAACTAAATTTTAAACGTACGCCCAGAAAAAAGATATGTTTCAGAACCAAATAAATTTTATTAGATTCAAATAAACGACATATCTTGGTGCATGACAATTAATTTAAAAATATAAAATTGATACCAAAAGTATCGAATTGATATAATATATCAATTTGATATTTTCAAAATAATTGTGACGGAAAAAAAATTACCTGAAACAGCAAAAGATTTCATTGAAATGCCTATCGCTGTTTCAGATAAAGTTTTTATTCCCTGTGTAATTAAATTAATTGAACACAAGTAAATTTACCTTGGAATTATTTGTTTTCAATATGTACAAAAATTTATTTGGTACAAATAAAATTATAAATTAAAAAAAAAATTATTTAAACCAAATAAATATATTTCGCTCTGAGTGAAAATTATTTTCTTTTTTTTTATACAATAAAAGTTTCAAATTACCATAAGAGGTCGATGTAAGCGAAATGGAAATCATAAAAAGTATCATTTCCAAATGATAATGAATATAAATATAATAATAAATGTAAAACGAGCACTTGATTTTAATTTTAATCTTCAGTGTATTTTTAGCAAACATTTTTAAAAAACATCCGGTTTTATTTTTTTTGCTTCAGGTATCGTTCAGTTACTCCAAAGGTTCCAAAGACGAATGGAATGTTGTAAAAATCGACGGTTTTGATGCTCGCGACGATCCCACAAGGTAAAAATTCTAAATGAATTTTTTTTTCTTCAAAATAATTGTTTTAATTAAAAATCATATTTTTTGAAACCATTTTTAGTTCCATTTTTTAATTTTAAATTTAATTAATTAATTAAAATTTAATAATTAATTTAAAGAAGTAAATAATAATTTAATGATTAATTTTCAGGGTGTCTAACGGTCAGGGAAACGTCAGGGAATTTTGTTGGTCAGGGAAATGTCAGGGAAAAGTCAAGGAATTTCAAAAAATTTCATTCAAATTCAGAGAAATTTCTGTAAATTTCTACAAAAATTAAAATTTTTTGTGAATTTAAAAAAATTTTAATCTAAAAAAACTTGAATGGTTTTTATTACCATTTGTTACTACTATTAGAAATTAATTTATTGTTAAATATGTCAGTAACCATATTTTTGTCTAAAGAAAGCAGAAATAAGTTTATTAAAAAGTAAGGGAAAATTCAAAAAATGTCAGGGAGAAGTCATGGAAAAGTCAGGGAATTTTTTTCTCAATCCTTGTTAGACACCCTGATTTTAATATTTTTTTTTTATTTTTTATTTTATTTTATATAATTCTATGGAAAAATCTTTTCTTTTTTGTTTCAGATTCAGATCAATTCACTGTCATCTTTATCCGAAACTTTCATATTGTCCGCATAGATGATGAATTAGCAAGGGAGTAATTTGTTTCATTTGATTAAAAAGTTTTTTTTTCCTGATATATTTAAAATGATAAATTATATATATATATATAAATATATATGAACAATCGCAATGACTGAGCATGCGATGGCAGCAATAATTATTTGTCTGCAGTCAGTGAAGCAGTAAGGAAGATTAAAAGTTTTATGTATACGTTCCATAAAAAAAAAAAAAAAAAAAAAATCACGTGAATCGCTTTTGCCGAAACATTAAACAGATTGCGCGCACTGAACGTTATTTAATCCACTTTGTCTATATAATGCTGCGTCAAAACTTAAATGTTTACGAACGTGCAAAAAATGTCAAACAAATGTTTGAAATTCAACTCTTTTTAACGTTATGTGTGTATGTGCAGTAAAATGCAGTAAAACTTCGTGAATCGAAAAAAAATTTTTTTTTTCAAACTTTTAATAATTCTGAAAAAAAAAATATTTAAAAAAAACGCAAAATGAAACTGTGTTTAAAATTTTACTTTTAAAAAAATTAGTTACACTTTTTTTCAAAAAAAAAAATATTACAAAAAATTGAATATTTAAAATTTAAAGGCAGAAACACTTATTTTAAATTTTGTAATTTTACCACCCTTGAAGTGAAAAAAATATTTTTTGATAAAATAAAAAAAGTGGAAGTTTTATTTGCGTAAAGAAATATTGATAAATGAAAATTTTTGAACTCAATGACAAATTTATAATTAATTATTAATTGAGTAATTTTTTTCAATTATCAAAATTTCAAAAAAAAAAGGTTACACATTATTTGTTTCATGATAATTTGTTAATTTTTTTTTTTTTTTTAATTCACAATTATTGTGAAGTAAAAATTTTCATTTTTGTATAGTTTCGTACAAATAATTTTAAGCGCTGTTTTCTTCTTTCTTTTTTCTATTTTTTCTATTTTTTTTTTGTATAATATTGTACATATTTCTATTATCGATGATCGACTTATTCAGCTCTGACAAACATTTCGAGTAAATTTAAAACTAGTTTATTCGAATTTCAATTAAATTTCCAATTTACATTCAAATAACAGTTAATTGGTTTTTGAATGTGAACTGAATGCTTCAAACACAGTTGAAAATGTCGATTATAAATCGTAAATTATTTAAAGCTCAGAGTTTCAATGAAATTTTTTATAAAATTTTATAGAATATATTTAAAAATCTGTAAGTAAATTTTTCAGTTATTATTGATCAGTTTTTTTTTTTTTTTTTGATACTCTGAGTCTGTGGATGGGTTCAATGTACCTCTCCAAAGTCTGTGACATTTTTAAAGTTCTATTTATCGAAAGCTAGTGTGTAACTGTCTGTTTAAAAGTTAGAAAATCACTGTGAAAATTATTTTATACATAGAAACACAAAAGAACGAAACTTTTTGCATTATTAGAATTTTGAGTAGGAGCAAAAATTGAATAACTGAAAATTATTTTCTTTTTTAAAAAAATTTAATTTTGTACTTATAACTAATTATGGTAATTATTAATTATCAATTATTAATTAATAATTAATAATTACTAATTAATAATTAATAATTACTAATTAATAATTATTAATTACTAATTAATAATTATTAATTAATTTCGATCATTTATCTGTAAAATTCTCAAAAGAAAGAAAAGTTTCGTCAACAGTTTTTGTGAGCAGACTATTAAATATATAGCTATATTAACGGAGAAAAAAAAGCTGTTATTTATAATAAAAAAAAAATTAATAATTATCAAGTTTAATAAGAAAATGATTTTAAGCTAGTCCCTCGTAACGAAGCAGACAGCTCTACAATGTGATATTGTAATATGTATATGTGTGTGCAAGAATGTGAGCGATCAATTATTTTCCCTTTTTGTTACCTCATTTAATATTTTTAAATTTTGTTCTTTTTTTTTATTTTCGAAGAGATCGCTGGTTTATGAAAGTGTGAAATAATATTGTTGACTTGTCCAAGTGTGCAATAAAAAAAAAATAATGGGCAACGTCTCCTTTGAGATTGATTTTCTTTTTCAATTTATATAATTTTGAATTCAAATTGAAGATTCATTTCTAAATTTATAGATTTCGTTTTGATTTATAGAAATTAGATTTTAAAAAAGTGCGAAAATTATCACTTATTGAGGCGCTCTTAAAAAGAGATTTTTTTTTTTTTTAAAGAGATTTGAGTTTATTTTTTATTATATTATATTGCTCAAAGCACTGGATCTATGATATATTGTTTCAACGTTGTATCATACTGTTTTATATGATAATACATATCTATATATAAATTATTTATTTTTTTCTTTCCTACATTTATTTTCCTTTCCACTTTTTCAGTTTTGAGAAAAAATTTGCAAATACATTTATTGTTAATTAATTCATTATTAAATAATTAATTTAAAAATTACGTTAACAAATAAGTTATTTAATAATTATGTTAATAAATAAATTATTTAAATATCAAATTAATTATTAATTAAATAAGGAAATTCAAAATTTGGAATTCTGGTAAAAAAAATTATAAAAATTTTTTTTCTACCTGTTTTTGAAAAAAAAATTAATATCACATGCATGAGAACTTTTTAGTGAAAGTATCGCCATCCGTTGATTGCAAGAGGAATTATTCTTCAAGTCGATACAGAAGTTTTCTGCTTATAGGACTTTTTCGCGAATTTTTATTTATTTTTAATTTTTAAAAAATTATTTGCAAAAATCATTAAATATAAACATAAAAAATTTATTTGTATTTTTAATTGTTTTTTTTTCAAAATTTGTTCTCAGTCAATAATTATATGATTATCAATCAAGAAACTCAGTTGGTAAATGCATTTATAATCAATAAATGCAAATAATATATGCAAAAAAAAAAAAAATTAGGAATTCAAATTATTTTTAATAATTTTTTTTTTCAATTTTAGAAAATAATTATGTATAAATATTTTTAATATAATTTTTTAACAAAAAAAACTAGTAATATTATTATTTATTTTTGGATATTTTAATTATTTAATTATATTTATTAAAATTTAAATATAAAAGTAATATAAAAAAGAATTACAAAATTTTATTACTTTTATTTTTATTTAATCAAAGTGTAATAAATTTAGAATTCAATATAAAATAATCGTTAAACTTAGAGGAGAAAAACTACTATTGTATATAATAATAAAAAAATAAAAATCTCAACTTTTAATTATTCTTCATATTTTGTTTATGGCTCTTTTTCTCTTTGCGATTTACATTTTTTTCTCATTAATGCGGCAATTTTTATAGCTTCAAAATATAGAAGGTAACAAATTTCTTTTTCCACTAAAATTCTCTTTGTATATACATATATATGAAATATTGAATAATAACGAGATTTTTCTCAAGATAATATTCACTGGTTTTCATTCATTTTCGATAGTCGAAAATTGACGAATTTTTTTAAAGTTGCTTGAATAATAAATGAGGGGCATAAAAAAAAAATTCGAAAGGAAACTGAACGAAAAAAAAAGAAAAAAAAAAAAAAAAACAATACAGATCTGTTGTTAATCAATTTTTTTTCTCGATTCTCATACAATGTTGTTAATGTATGCAAATAGTGCAAGCGAAAATTTCTACTCTGCAAACATTTTCTTTTGTTGGTTCAATAACGGTTCGGTGTTTTACATGAGTGACCGATAGCATCCTCATCGATATTCCAGATTGATCGATTATGCATATTCGTTATATAAGATATAGATATACTGTAATAGTAACACTTTTTTCCCCTAATTCCTTACAATAAACTTTTTTTTTCAAAAAATTCAATAATTGCAAATTTTTTTTAATTTTTACGCAAAAAAAAGGTTCAATTATTTTGTTAATTTAAAAAAAGAAATTATTTTCTAAAATTGTTTTAAAAATTTTTTTTTAAATTATTATCAAATGGAATTTAAATAAATTGAATAATGGAGAGACTATTTTTTTTATAAAATTATATAAATAAATAAATTTATATTAAAAATTTAAATAAATATAAATTTTCATTTTAAATAAATACAAATACAAAATACAAAAAAAAATACAAATTATAAATTAAAATTCAGTTTTTTGGCACACGTTTTGAAGAAAATTATTTTCCTGACTCTCTAAACAAATTTCTTTGATTGAAACCGACTTCTTCTGAGTGCGTTATATATGTACCAACATTATGAAATAATATATATCGCGTGGAAATAATATTTAACATTTTCACGTCTCATAAAGTTTTAGACTTTGGAAATACGAACGAAATTTCCAAATGTATATATCGAGTTTTTTTTTTTTTTTTTTTTCTTCTATTTTTCCTTCATGTTAAATCTATTTACATCGTTTTTCACAACAAGTTTCGCGAAGAGAAGGAAACTTTGGCAAAGTTATTGCAATCATGTTAGAAAGACACACATTCAGTATTTGTCTTTAAAAGAAAAATATTCAAAATTCGAACAAAAAATGAAAGCAAACAAAAGAATTATTAAATTTTAGTTAATTGAAATTATAGAAATTTGTTTCAATTTTATTTTGGTTTGGAAATTTTAATTAAATTCTATTTTTTAGAATTATAAAAAAAATTTATCCTATTATAAAAAGAATGTGACAAATATCAAGGAAATATTGGGAGATAATTGGAATGAGAGCAAGTGAAATATTAAAATTTTTCATCAAAAAATATCTAAAAAAAATTTGCTGAATGCGAAAAACAAAAATTTTTGCAAAACTTTCTTTCTTTTTTTGTTGGGGGGACTTTTGTCAGGAGGAAAAGAGATAGCGATAAAAGTTCTCGAGGGTGTTTTTTTCGGTAGTTTTCGGTGGATCAGGTCGAGGAGCTGGCTTCCGGTGGCCGGGGATATAGGTTGAAACCAGGTCGTGGCACTGACAATCCGACCTATATACGATTCGTTGCACCTCTTACGTCATTGGCTACAACTGTGTGACCCCAGACATTTTCATTTCCAACAAAACGACCTTCCCGTTCACTTAAAAAAAAAAAATCTCAAGTAGAAAAAAAAATTTTATCACTTTCCTTATATGACATTGTAATGAGATGACGCAAAAAAAATAAAATCGTCAATTACAATATTTTTCATCTTTGTTTTTTTTGTGTTAATTTCATTTTCAAAATATATTTTTAAAATATATTTGCAAAATTATTTTTAAAATATATTTGCAAAAAAAATTTTTTTTTCTACAAAAACGAATTAATCTATAAAAAAAATTTATTTCTAACCTTAGTCTGCAACTGATGAATCATTTTGTGGTCCATATGAGATCTGACGGAAGCGATTAAAATTTCGTACACTCTCGATAACACAGGTTTAAATAATTGAGAAAAAACAAAATTTATAATTTTTGAGTGATCGCGATTATCAAAATTTCATACACTCACGAAATAAAAATGAGAAAAAAAAATTTTCGTTCGCGAATTAAGTGAAATTAAATAAAATTATTGCGACCACTTCTGTATACACAGGCGAATGACTAAATTGCTAACTGATTAAATTATTTTTGGAATTTTCCCATAGCCATATTGTTTATGACCTTTTGGCTTCAGGTATATAAAATACTCTTTGTTCTTCAATGTAAACATTTATATACAGCTCACGATGCAGGTATAAAAATAATTACAAAAGTTTATTGAAAATATTTTTGAAATAATTTTTGAATATATTTCATTTATCGCAATTATTTAAATATTATTTTGAAATCTTGAAGAAAAAAATCGTCAAAGAATGAAAAATTTAAAATCAAGATTAAAATTAATATTTTACATATTATTATTTCAATATTGACACAAATAAAAAAAAAAAATATTTCAAGCCACATTAAATTGAACAAGACTGAAAAAAATTTATTTAATTCAAATAATCGGTTACTTTATTATCAAATAAATATTTATTTGTATTAAATAATTATTAGTTGAGTCAATTAAATTAAATAAAAATAATTTGGTTTTAAAAAATTTATTTGTTAATACATAAACGATTATTTGAAAGAAAGAAATTTTTTTTCCGTGTAGAACTAAAATTTAATTTTTTAATTTTAGATATCACAGATATTAAATAAAGAAACACTCTTCATCTAAATAGTCGATAAAAAATATAGACAAACTGTCAATTCCAATATTTATACATACGCGAGAGTAAATTAATTATAAATTTCATTAAATAATACAATAAATTTGATTTAATCCAGGAAATAAGTATTTTAATTTAAATTTCCAAAAAAAAAAATGTAAATAAAAATTTATTCAAAAATTTTTGCAATTTAAAAAATTATAGAGTATTCCTTAAACAGAGAGAAGTGAGATTCTAAAGACTAAAAATATTTCAGTAATCATCTCATTATTGTCCTCGTTAAAATTCAGTAAAATATACCTGTATATATATATATATGTTTATAGAAAGAGACAAATTCTGTCTCAACAAGCAACGACAGTTTCGCAGAATACCGATGGAAACACTCGATGTTTATGCAAATTGACTCTCGACATGTTGACAAGAAGAGTCTCATTAATTAGGTAAGAGTTATAAAAATGTCGTTTAGAAAAAAAAATAACAAGTCTCTTCAAAATTTGCTTCAATGAAACTATAAAAATAAAATTATAATATAAAGATTAGGGTGGTCCAAAAAGTTGAAAGAAATGTTTTTGATTTGACCTCCATCAATTTTTTCTAAAGTGAAAAATATACATTTTTTTTTAATCAGAAAAAAAATTATTTATTTTTTTAAAAAAATTTATTTTGCGTAAATTACCTGTTTAATTATTTTATTATTATATTATTTATTTATTAGGGTCAGTTGGGGTAAATGGGAACAAAATCGCTATTTTTCACAAATTACGTAAGTTTCTTCCTTTAAAAGGTAATATTTGCGGGTCTATTTTTTTTAAGTTGTTATTTACGTTCCCAGGATTAATTTTATGCAGCAGAAAAAAATTTAGATGAGCTTTAAACGCCTAAAACTGACTGTCCCCATTTACCCCAAGATTTAGAAAATTTCATAAAATTTGGGGTAAATGAGGACAGCATAGTTTCTAAGAAAGTTTTAAGAAAAAAGTTCCCTTAAGTATATTACTGTATTAAGGGATGAAAAAACTTGAAAAAAATTTGTAGTAGATATGTACTAGTTGAACCAATTGAAATTTTTTTTTTTTTATTTTAGTATTTTGTCTCGCATTTGAAAAAAAACAGACTTAAAAATCATACCAAATTTTTTTCTTATTCCTTATGACTCCCATAACAGAAATTCACTTGAATTTCTGATTTTTGTTAATTTGGTTAATAATGAC